TTTTTTGGGGTATTTTCTTCTCGTTATGAAGATTCTCTCTTTAAACTGTTGTGGGCTAAAAGCAATTGGAAAGTCTAGCAATATTAAGGATCTTGTGCAAAAAGAAAATTGTGCTGTCTTTGGTTTGCAAGAAACGAAATGTGTTAGTTTTTCAGATGCTTGGTTTACGTCAATTTGGGGAAGCAGGAGCTTTGGCCACGTCTCTGTGAGCTCTTCTGGCCACTCAGGAGGTATTCTTTTATCTTGGGACGACAATGTCTTCTTCAAAGAATCAGAAATTAAGGGGGACCATTTCTGTGGAGCGATTGGTTCGTGGCAAAATGTGAAAAAGAAAATTGGCATAATTAATGTCTACAACCCTCAAGCGACGGCGCAAAAAGCAAGAGTCTGGGAGGATCTTAGCTCGGTGATCATGAGTGCCTCAAATGTTATATGGATTTTATTGGGGGATTTCAATGCGGTTCGTTTTCCTGARGAAAGAATGGGATCAACTTTTGACTCTAAAGAGGCTTCAATTTTCAACTGTTTTAYTTCCTCCTCTGGGCTCCTCGATATCTCTTTCTGCGGCAGACGTTTCACCAGATTTAGCAAGGATGGGTCAAAGATGAGTAAGCTTGATCGTTTCCTGGTAACGTCTAACTTTTTCTCTATTTGAAAGGATCCTTCTGTGCAGGTTTTACACAGATCTATTTCCGATCATTGCCCTATTCTTTTGAAAGTTAATGATCTTTCTTTGGGGCCTAAACCATTCAGAGTTTTTGACTCATGGTTGGGTATTGATGATTTTCAAAAAACGGTCCTTTCCTCTTGGTCTTCAAGCTCTTTTCTTGGGGATGCTGATTTCTTCTTAAAGGAGAAGGTAAAAGCTCTTAAAAATGACTTGAGATTGTGGTCAAAAATTTTCTTAGCCAGCGAATCAAAAAAGAAAGATGAGTTACTCAAAGCCTTGTTTGACTGGGACTCTAAAGCTGAAAAGGGGGGTATCTCAAATGTTGATTGTCAAAAAAGAGACGAATGGATTTTTGATCTGATGCTTTTGGACAATCGAACAATGTTGAATAACCAACAAAAATCGCGTTCCAAATGGGYTTTAGAAGGGGATGAAAATTCCAAATTTTTTCACAATTTAATTAACTTTCGTCGGAGAAGGAACAACATTAAAGGAATTATTTGCGAAGGTGTTTGGACTTCTGATCCTTTGGTTGTCAAAAGTGTATTCTTACAGCACTTTGCTGACAGATTCAAAGAGCCTTGCTCCTCTAGAC